AGTTTGGCCTTGGCATTTATGTTCAGACACTCATTTTTATCCTAAAAAAAAAAATAATCTGTGAAATATCTAGAGATGGAATTAACCATAAAAACAAAGTCATTATTTCCTTACAATGTTCAGTACTAGCAGCTTGTTTTTTTTTTTCTATTCCTATGACAGTCGAGCAGGCATTGAAGATTCCAAAAAGTGGGGCATGTTGTTTCTCGTGAATCAGCTGTTCAAAATTTATTTTAAGGTAGGGTTCAAGTCTTATAAGCTATTTTGTGAGTCAAATTCACCCTTCTTTTTTTTTTTTTTACATGATGTTGCATATCCACCATTTCTGAGTACAACACAACTTTATTTTTTTTAACAGATCAACAAGCTCCATCTATGTAAACCCTTAATTAGAGCAATTGACAGCTCAAACCTGAAGGACGAATACAGTATGGCACAGCGAGTTACATACAGATACTACGTCGGACGCAAAGCCATGTTTGACAGTGACTTTAAGCAAGGTAGTGTGTGGTGGTAAGACAGATTTAAGCTGTTGCAGCTTGCTGTGAGCTCTGGCTTATGGTGTGTGTGGCTCAAAACGTGTGCAGAAGGTGCAGTTCTGTTTGTGCTGATGACAGAAAAGTCGTGCTGGTTCTAATAATATGAGTGAATTGAGCAGAAAATTCCAATATCGCTTGTAGCTGTTACATCAGACATCTAGGTACTGACAAATTTTATTTTCCTTTCTGAAACAAGACTACTTTTCTTGTAATACCTTGTCTTTTGTGTGTTTTTTTAATATAATTTCAAATATAGCCTCGAGCTAGAAATGGGCGTTGAGCACAGAATTTGGAGTACAGATTTAATCAATTTTTTGTTGTTGACTCTTGTAACTAGCACTGCTTTTATTTGTGCCTGCAGCTGAAGAGTACCTGTCCTTTGCCTTTGAGCACTGTCACCGCTCAAGCCAGAAGAACAAAAGAATGATTTTGATCTATCTGCTGCCAGTGAAAATGTTGTTGGTGAGTAAATGCTGCTCTTCCAAATCACTTTTTGTGAGGCAAAAAAGCAAACTGAAACTCAGTATGGCTCTTCTTTTTTTTTTCTTTTTGTTGTTTGTTTGTTTTTCCCTCTCCCCCATAAACACCAGTATATGTAAACTTTGTTATAGAGCTTCTGTGTTAACCCATTTGAGGCATATCAAGAACCACAGAGCATTTGGGTTTTGAAGAAATCAGTGAAGACTGGTTCCCTGCTCACTTCATCTTTTTGTTAAAAGAATTAAGCACATCTCTGCTTCTTGTTCATGACCTTCCCCATTTCCATGCCTTTTCCCATTCTGGTGTAACTGAGGAGACAAGAACAAGATTTTACAATGTTTCTTGTTCCTGGCCCTGTTACCAGAGTTCCTCACGGCCCTGTTACCAGAGTTCCTCACAGAGAATGTTTTTTTTTTTCTTTTTTTTTGTTTTGTTTTGTTTTGTTTTTTTTTTTTTATCATCCACTTAAGAGAGTTCCCATCTTCCACCCTTGTCCCAGCCTGCTCATGACCATTCTCCCTTTTTCCCCTTTGTGCTCCCTTCTCCATCCCTTGCAGCCTCAATTCATTTCCTTTGCAACTGTCTCCTGATGGAGGAAATTTCCCATGTGTAAGGGAGACGCATAGTGGCTATCAGAATTGGCTTCTGCTCTTGTTTGTTGTCTGTCTGAGTGGTTATTTTCAGATCAGTCAATGGTAAGGTTGATAAAGCCAACAGCCTTCCCTAAGCTGCTGGGTCCTGTAGGGCCTGAGATAACTGCAGCTTCTCTGTAGCAGCTCTAGTGTTCGAGAGGCACTGAAGAATCTGGATAAAGGTCATTGTTTTTACAGTTGCTTTTTAAAATCACATTCCAAACATTAACACTAACCTTAAAACTCTACTAAAATAGCTTGGGAGGTGGTGTTTTTTCAACCTTATTTTTGTTCCTAGCAGCTCTCAGTAAACATGCAGCAGGGTTCTGCTGTCAGTTAATCCTCCAACCAGGAGAGGAGTTACCAACAACAGAACAGGAGATGGTAACTAAATTTAAAGGCTGACCAAGTCAGCGTGCCATCTGATCTCCACTGTGCAAGGGGGGGAAAAAAAACAAACCAAAGTTTCTTTTTGATAGCCCACCTGGTTCAGACTTACCTGATGTAACAAGGAGAATTTTGTTTCTTTAAATTTAAAATGTCTTTTCTCCCTCTCTGACATTTGAATGTCCATGTGGAGGTGTGGTGAAGAAAAAATCTGGTACAGGCTGAGGTGGCACTTGACAGCACTGAAGCACTGCCTGTATTATTAGGAATGCTTGGGATTCCCACAGTTACTTTGTTTGAAGATGAGATCATACAACTGTAACGTAAAATGTGGAGCTGCCTAAGCCTTGTGTCACAGGATCTTGATTTCACAAGTTTGGTAACTGTTCTGCAACACTTGGAAATATTAAGAGACTCCCGAAACTGTGATAAAGAGTTATTGTGAGTTGAGTTGCAGGAAGTTTGGCAGCGCAGGGGGTTGTCCTACAAATACTTCCACTTAATTCTTGTTCTGCAGGGAAAAAAATAGTAGTTAAACACGTGCCTGTTTCTCTGACAAATATTTTTATAGTTTATGTTGAAAACGCGCTTGACTTTATCCCGGAAAACATTTATTTTTCAGGGCCATATGCCAACGGTTCAGCTCTTAAAAAAGTACGACCTCATGCAGTTTGCTGAAGTAACAAAGGCTGTGAGGTACGGTGGTTATTTTGTTGCATTGTCCATTAGTTCCAGAAGCCTTAACTAAAAGGCATTTGTTTGGGATAACTTAAGGAAAGCAGGGGAAGGATATTCTTACCAAGTCCTGCAGCTTCTTTTCTTGATAGGGCGAGACCTTCTCACGTATTCATTTCTTCCACCCTTCTAGTGAAGGCAATCTTCTCCTACTGAACGACGCTCTGACAAAGCATGAGACCTTCTTCATTCGATGCGGAATCTTTCTTATCCTGGAGAAGCTGAAAATCATCACGTACAGAAATCTCTTTAAGAAAGTGTAAGCATAATAAAAAAAATTACATGTTTTGCAAAAGTGGATATAATGTGGTTTTACTTCGGACTGAAATAGAGATGTTCCGTAGCTCTCTGTAGGAGGGCAGAATTCCTGTTGAAGTGAATCTATAATAGAAAGGCCATTTTACTAAGAACCAGAATTTCTAAGTGATTGTTTCCCAATAACAGATTTTCTGTTGTGTTTTTTTTTTTTTTCTTTCAGATATTTACTCCTCAAAACGCATCAACTATCGCTAGATGCCTTTCTGATTGCCCTGAAATTCATGCAAGTAGATGATGTTGACATTGATGAAGTCCAGTGCATTTTAGCTAACCTTATTTACATGGTATGTGCTGCTCACGTATTGTTTTGTCCTTCCAGACTCCAGGCAGTAAAAAATATTAGGCAGAGAGTGAAAGTTTGTTACTAAAATATATCAGTAATCCTAGCTTGTGTATAAAAGTTGATTAATATGTGCCCAAATGGCAAATGTTTTCATTTGCCCAGGGGAATTCCTCTAGTTCCTGCCTCTTTTGCAGGAACCACTTAAAATTGCAGTTGAATTCTGCGTTACAGATCCAGTACTGACTTTTCTATGAAGAATAAGTATTCATTTCAAAATGGAAAAAATTCTAACTGGGACCAGAAAGGGATTTGTTCTTCTGCATTTGAAGTAGGAGACTTTTGATGTTCTAACATCAGAAAAAATAAAAACACGTTTCTTGGTTTCACATTTGTCTAAATGGGTCTTAACTACTCATGAATAGATCCAGGCTTGCAATCTATAGATTTCTGATCTGTTAAAAGTTTTGGAGCAGCATTACAGTGTCAGCAAGAAAATGAGCTGCTTCTCTGTTTCTGAAGCATTATTTGGTGACCTCAGAGTAACAAAGGGTGGGATTAGGTGACTGGAAGATTTCTATCAGTGCTGTAACCCTCCATGTCTAAAAAAGAAGAATTATGGATTTTTGTTTTTAAATTTGGAATAGTGATTGATCAAAATCCTAATTTTAAAGTGAGCAAGAATAAATTTAGAAACACTTCTCCAGAGCTCTTCAGGGAAATATAAGCAAACCAGGAGGGGGCCCTGGCAACAGGCAGTCCGACAGCACCGTTAGTATGCAAACATGGTTATGGTTCCAGCTTTCTGCTTGCTGCGTGAGGTGACCCACTTACATAAATCGGATCCTTCCGGACACCAAGTACAGCAATGCAGTGGTGATTGAGTACGTGCACGTAGCTTTGTTTGATTTAGCCTGATGACAGGTGAGGTATAGGCGTTGTGTTACCAGCTGCCAGTACTAACAAGTGTGTTTCTTCCTCCTGCCAGGGTCATATTAAAGGCTATATATCTCACCAGCATCAAAAACTTGTCGTCAGTAAGCAGAACCCATTTCCTGCGCTGTCAACGGTGTGTTGAGTGTTGCATCTTAGCCGTGCAAGTACTTTTCAGACACACGGCTCGCCCAGTGGAGCTGCTCCTAATCAACCAGGGAACATTGTAAATGACCTGGGTCATGTCCAGGACTGGAATACCAGGAACTGTTTGTGGCTCCTTTCCCAGAATGACCAAGGCTGCCAGTGTAACAAAGTGCATTGGAATGAAATACTCACTTTTCGGTGATAGTTTCTGCAGGCTTTCTAGAGCATTTGAAGTATCTCGTGAAGAAATAAAAGCAAAGCATTCCAAACTCCTTCCAAAGTACTTAAAAGCTGTTATGAAGTACTATGTGTTACTATCTCAGCATTTATCTTCTGGAAAAGAAAAGTATCATCCTTTGGTACATATACTAATCCAACTTTCAGGGTGGAAATAACGTTTTCTTTTATGGTCTCCACTTTCTAAACCTCTTTGATAATCTCGGTGGTCTCAAATACACTTTTCAAGCCTTCTCTAAAAACTAGAGAAGTTGTGCTTGATACCGAAAGCTTTGCAGTTTCAGTGATACTTACAAGTTCAACTAAATGTGATTTGTTTTTTTTTTTTTTTTGGTCTGTAGTTGCTCAGATATGTTTTTGTTTTTAATTCCTTTATTGTTTTGATTAAATTTTGTTACGATGAACAAAAAAGCATATCTAAGTAATTTATCCATACACTGTTTTATTCTATTTCTGGGGAAAAGACTGCCACTGGGTCCATTGTTTTACATGTTCCTTGTGTGTGTGTTCTGTGTTTTTTTTTTTTTGGGGGGTGGGGAGGAGGAAGAGTACAACATACCTTTGTGTGTTGTGATGGGATTTTTTTTTAATAAAGAAAATAAAACATTTTTCCCCCTCTTTGGGAATCTAGTTTTTATTTTACCCAGTTACTGAATTATGATTTATGATTAAAAACACAGCTGCCATGGATGAGGGAAAAGAACTTTTTGATGTTATGAAAGAGTCAAGTCCTGTATCAACACTTAAAGGCTTGGAGTGTTCTTGGTCTTCATAAGTTTTACTTGTATAGATACTGAAATAAGAATATGGGTTTACTGATCCACATTTCAAGGGAATAAGAATTAAAAAGACTCATTTCCTTCTAGTAACATTTTAAAAGCCTAGAAAAGCATCAATACTTTTTGAGTTTTAGAACGAACAGTTCTAGGAAACTTAGAGTTCAGTCAATTTATTAGTAAAACACCTACAGTTAATGTGCCATGGCTTTCACAGTGTTGTGTGTCAACAGAGGAAGGAAGGACAAAGGGACTTCTCCACGTGAATTGGAGTTAAATTGGTATCATCGTTGCAACTTCCAGTGCTGCAAGTGGTGATAGAGTCAAATGTGTCTACTGGCTGCCTCCAAAGGTGGTCGGTAGGGGTTTGGTTGTGTTTGTCTCACTTCATTTTGTGTTAAGCCATATCATGTATCTCGCGGTGTTGGTAAATAGAAACGTTTTTCTGTCAGCGTCTTCTAGCGGCCAGGGTCCCAGGATGCCAGTCAGAAACCATGTGCCCTTATACTCGGTGGCCATAAAGCTTCCTCCAGTCAGCTGTTTTTCTGTGGCCTCCTGGATGTGTCCACAAAACTGCCTGTTTGTGAGGCTTACGTTGAGGATTTGTTCGCAGTCCTCCGTAGGAAGGTAGGAAACCTGCAGCTCCTCACCTTGAACTTTGTCGCCTTCTCTTTTCCAGCCACTGACCGTACCCACCAATTTGGGAATCAAAACATGTTCTGCAAAGTCTCTTTCAGGGATGCATACAGGAAGCTGGTGGGTGTTGCACTCAATGTGCTCATGGAGTTGTAGTAATGCAATGTTGTTCTCGCCAGTGTCCTCATCGTACCGGATGTGTATGTGTTTCTCGTGAACGCGCATTACCCTCTCAGTTCCACATGTTCTGTTGTGCCCTGTGAAGCAATGACATGTTCAGTGCCCTTAAGAACATCAGAGACTTGAAAACAGTGTGTAAATTGATAACAACTGCGAGTTGTGCTGAGAAATATGTGCAGCAGAGAAACGAAACATGGTGAAGGTAAATTAGGAATGACAGCTTTTCAACGTTGCGTAGCAGCATGCATAATTTCAGAGGGGAAGGACAAATACCCAACACCAGCAGTAAATTTTGGCATGAAACGTTCCTTTTTTGGGGGGAGGAAGGGTAGTGATCTCCAAATGAACCTAGTTTAGCATATCCCTAAATGCTGAGCCAGCCCTTGTGAGTGCCTTAGAGAAGTACTGGTCTTTCTGCTTGGCTTCTAGAGAGGCATAGGACAGCTGTAGTTCTAACTCAATACTCATTTAAGATGCTTAAATGAAATGCCAGCAGATTTATACGCCACAACAATATTTTTGGTGCAGCAGAAATTTTAGTAAGCTGTTTTTGAAAGTAGCTTAACAGTGTCGAAATGTGCTACAACAAAAGGAAAGGTTTCATCACCTACCGGCACCAACCCTGATTTCAAAATGGCTGTGCAGAAGGGCACACTCTGCTGTGGTCAGGACAAAATTACTTTTCAGCAGCACTCCTCCACAGAAGCCTTTCCCTTCTGAGTTTAACAGCAGGACCTAAGAAAATACCAAAAAAAAAAATAATAATAATAATTAGCACCGTCCATATGAAAAGTTAGCCATAGACTTCATGAATTGCTAGAAATACCTGCCAAGGAAAGTGCTTGTCACGTTTCCTCAGGGTTTCGCTTATCAGATTATCCGTGTCTTGAAGTCTGCCACATGCACATTTATCTAGCAAATGAATTAGAAAAAATAAAAACCTCATGCTGTAACATTTTGTGACAACTACTACCTGCAAGTATTTTAAGTATTCCGTCTAGGCTGTAGGGTTTGGATTTTGTACCAAGGAAAAGGACAGTATCTCAGCTGGTGAAAATCAGAATAATTAACTTGATTTCTGTAGTAATACTAAACCATTTGAGTCATTGTGTTAGGCTTGTGGTGGCAAGCTTTTACTTTGCAACTTCCGAACTGAGGCTTCCTCTCCAGCTAACCATCAGCACAGGTTGCTTCCTCATCTTTGTATCCTGTACTTGAACTGCACTAAACACCTCGTAGCTTTTGGGTATGTGGGTGCCTAGTCCTCAGTACCAAACTAGAGCTAGTTTGAAGTAAAACCCACCAAATTGCATTTAGTGTGGGCATCAAATCTTCACTAAAAGTGTGGCTGTACAGCTCCATTCCTGTTTGGCTGCCATACTTACTAATACAGACAGGACCTATGTATACTACTGTATTTTTAGTTGACCTAGTTTAAAAGTTTTAAGATTGAAAAAATGAAGAGGGCTACCACTTCAAATTAACTAACAAGGCAGCAAGTGCTGTCTTTTATTTGTAAGGCTGTTGGGTGCCTAATCTGAATCAATTGAACCTCATTCCCAAACAGGCAGGTCTTCTGTAGCTCTTTACTGAGAGTTGGAGAGGAAAACCTGCACCAGTGAGTGATATTTAGAATGATGCTAGTGCTCTCTGCACTCCCACCTGTAAATGTTCTGATCAAATGTTCCTTCTTTTACCACCGCTCAGGTGTCTTTGTTGCTGATCCCTAGGTTCCTCCTTTTTATGTCCAGTTTGGAAGGTTAATGTTCTTATTTCTGGAGTCCCCAAGTGGGCTGATTGCATCTGGGTATCAGATTCCCTGCCCGAACACCCGAGCACTGTGCATGGGCCCCACCTCCATGCTCACACCTACCTAAAGCGATACATTGCTTTTTGTCCTTCCCGAGCTCATAGCCATCAGCACAGGAGCAACGGTATGAATCTGTTCCTGGATAGCAGAAATGGTGACATCCTTCTTTTCCTTGGTGCCGGCATTCGTTTTTAGCTGGAGAGAACAAGCAGGGAAAAAGCATTGGGAATGGTTCAGCTGGAGTTTTCTTGCATAGCCCGAGTCCTCTTTGCTAAGCATTTTGCATTTACTCTCTTTGTATTGGAGTGGGTAGGAACTGCCTTCCTACTGTCTTCTTCACCACTGTTTTTACCCTCATCAGGCAGAAATTGGGCAGAGAGAGCTGCCTTTGCAGCTTCCACAGGATTATAGCACCCAGTACCTCCCTGCACCAGGCTGTCCACGCTGCTGAGTTTTGGGCAATATTAGTACCCAAGGGTCAAACTAGGCTTTCCATGTAAACCCACAAAAGGATGCCATAAGTTTTCTCTGCTCAGTTAAGCAAAGCCCTAAGGATTCACTAAGCACCAGGGGAACCTTCTGCACTTTTTAAGAAGGCAAGTGATCAAGAAAAAAGCTAAAGTTTTCTGCTTTCCAACAAAAACAAATGTGTAGCTCCTGTTTCTCATTCTTGTGCCAAGAAAATTAAAACCAACCACTGCCACATATCAGGGAAAAAAAAAAAAAAAAAAAAAAAAAAAGTATTAATCATCTGTGAAACATGGCCAGTCACCTTTCTGTGGCTGAGCAAACGCAGCTTCGGTACAAAGCAACAGGAGGAGCATTTGATCTTAGATCTAGCTCACAGGTGGAGAAGCAGCAAAGAAATTTGCATGTGATATGGCTCTTGATGGCTCATGCGGAGCAGGTCAGGCTCCCCAGGGGGATACTCTGCCCCTCTACACTCACACCCTGCTGCAGAAAAGGGCCCTCCAGGCAGGCAGAAATACTGACATTGGGGCTAGGAAGCAAAAACTTTGGATATGAATGTGCAGGATCCATCCTGGTGCATTTTAAGGGCCAGATAATATAGAATAGAAACATGAAATTATTAGGGTTGGAAAAGACCTCCAAGATCATCTGGTCCAGCCATCGCCCTACTACCAATGTCACCCACTAAACCACGTCCCTAAGCATATATGATAGCAAGTAGACATAAAGTGGGGTGGGATTATGAACCATAGTTTAGCATACACAAGGAACTTGGGTCAAACATCTCAGTTGGGGTAGTATCAGGGAACTACCACCACGTTGTACAAAGTATGCATGTTAGCCCCACGCTGGTGGTGCCTCACCAAAGGCGCAGTCCTCCCCCTCGTAGCCCTCGGTGCAGGTGCAGGTGTAGCCACGAATGCTGTCCTCGCACACGCCGTCGTTCTGGCACGGGTTGGAGGAACATCTCTGGCCACCTGGGGAGGGACAGCCCAAAGGCTGGAATTAGGTGGAAGCCATCCCACCCTCACAGAGGCAACGAGACATGGAGCAAGATGTTCAGTACGAGTCCTCATAACTTGCAGATCCTGGATCCACAGAACCGTCCCCTGCACTCGGTGTTTTAAGGGCTTCCACAGAAAACTAATACTAATGCTGTTTTTACCACCTCCCTGTCTACTGTCTAAAACTCAGATTACGAGTGAATAAAAGCAAATCAAAAAGAAAAGAGATAAAAAGAGAGAACTGGTTGGATGCAGCAGGGATGGAGGGGATGAGGCCTAGTCACCTCGCACCACTGCCACAGGCCCCGTGTCCAGGAGGTGCCTGGCTGCATTGCCCCACATCAGCATTGCCCCATGTCAGCTTTGCAGGTTTATTTCTCTCCTCAGCAGCTGCCAAAGGACAGCCTCCAGAGCTTGCAGACAGCCCAGTGGACTTTTAGCACCTATTTATCTCACTCAGGTTCAAACAGTAGGTTTGTATTTGGGAGGCTGTGCTGGTAGAGCTATGCTGGTGAACTGAATCAGCAAAGACTGAATCAGACTTCCCTGTGTGTCTCTCAAACACCAAAATGCTCAGCTTACAAGGGGAAATACACCCCTTTTGCCTTGCATGCCCTGGTAGCTCTATTAGCTTATTAGACTATTAGACTAGTGCAACCCTTTCGCATCAGCCCTTCTCTTGTGTTTCTAGCCATATGACACATAGTGACTGTGTGTTTCTTGTAGAATAAACTGCTAAAAGCTGCTGAAAACTCTTAGAAACAACATCAGACTGAAGCGTAATGTTCACAACATGCCACAACTATGAAGGAGAGAAATCAAAAGGCCAGCTTACCGTAGTAGTTATCCCAAAACATTTTCTGAAAGAAAGGGGAAATCAGATTTCAATTCTCAAATAACATCATCTTCCATAAATATTTTGGCAAAACAGAGACTTTACATGAGAGAATACACACTGCACTTTGACATTCACACAGTCACATGATTACAAATTTTGTCCTGCCATCAAGATTTGAATGACATGAGGTGGGAGGGAGGGTTTGCATCCTGCACATCGTCTTGCTTCTTCAGAAGTTATAAAGGAAAAGAAACACTTCACGGGCAAGAAAGAAACAGCTGAACCCTGCAGTAGCAGGGCTTCCTTGAAAAACTGGCCAACTATCATCTCCCTGTTGTGCATCCACTTGGGAGGTGACCCCATCCTGTCCTGCTTGTCCCCCACTGGTGGTCAGGGCTCCTCCTTTCCCTTACCCTGCTGCTTTTTCCCCAGATGTTGCTGCTGGAGGTAGAGGTGACAGCACAAGGCGTTGCTTCATGTAAGTAAAAGGAAATTAAGTAAAATACTTACGAGCATCTCATCATTTTCAAATACTTCTCTTGCTTCCTCTTGTGTGCATCTCTCTTCAAGGCATTCTCTTTCCAAGCTGCCTTGGAGAACCTCCTCCAGAAGGAGGGAGCTGGCACGCCTGTGTCTCTTGATAACTTCATTTGCATCATCAGCTGATATAAACACTGAAACATTGCATGACAAGATGCTAATGTAAGTACTTAGGCTAGTTTCCTTTACACTTGCACTATTTTTTTTAATCAATCTTAATAAACAGCCACATTTTACCATGAAGAGAAATCCTGACACTGTTTTCTTTTGTTTCCCACACCTCTTACAGCCCTGAGCACAAGAGTGTCCTGATCCTTTGTCAGTGCTCCCAAGTAGTAAAAAACAAAACCAAAATGAACCAAACAAAAAGGATTCAGGTCTGACTCATTGCTGAACTTTTCTGCAGAATTCCTTGTAAATATAGAGTTTTTGCATCTCCCTGCAGCAGCCTTTCCTGCTGCATATTTTATTCCTACACTGGACACACAGAGAGCTTGGTTGTGCCATGGCTACAAGAAGAGATAAATATTATTATAAAGGCAGAGGCTGTTTTGTAGGAGTCCATGGGACTTTCAGCAGAAGTGGAAATGATTTGTATTTATTTGTGATGAAGGACCCTAACTGACACCCTTCACAGAATCACACACAGAATCACAGAATTTCTAGGTTGGAAGAGACCTCAAGATCATCGAGTCCAACCTCTAACCTAACACTAACAGTCCCCACTAAACCATATCCCTAAGCTCTACATCTAAACGTCTTTTGAAGACTTCCAGGGATGGTGACTCCACCACCTCCCTGGGCAGCCCGTTCCAGTGCCTAACAACCCTTTCAGTAAAGAAATTCTTCCTAACATCTAACCTAAAACTCCCCTGGCATAACTTTAGCCCATTCCCCCTCGTCCTGTCACCAGGCACATGGGAGAACAGGCCAACCCCCACCTCTCTACAGCTTCAGTCAGAATTCATGGAGATTTTTTGCTACCAATCATGACATGGCTCAGGGTGGCTATAAAAAAAAAGTTATTCCCCAGCAATGTAAAAAAAAGCTGTCGTATGCCATCCTTTACCTGGAAGACACCATAATCTTTCTGTATTTGTGTCAAGAGGAGGAAAATCCAAAGACATGACAGAGATCAGACCTTAAAACTCCTCTTTGCAATGATGCCCACAACAAAAACCACCTGTCAAGGGGGAAGGCTGGTGCAGTGCTGTTGCCTGTTGCCTTTGACATTAACTGGGATGTGGCTGCACATGTCAGTGTGTGTTTGTCAGCTCCCCTGTACTCAGAAAGTAAACCCAATGGGGAAGGGACTGGGTTGGTTTGTTTGTTTGCTTAATATTTTTTACAGTCTTTGGGGGCCCGATGGTTGAAACAAGCAGTGATACTGGAACTGGAAAAAGTGACAGCACTGACAAAATTATTCTGAAGCTGTGTGTCGTTTCTTAGTTACGCTTTTGAAGGATAGCAGATGAGCAGGAGACTTACATGTGGTGCTAAGACAAAGCATCACGTTTCTGTTTTGCATTTTGAAATGCCAGGGGGCATCATTCTGCCCTTCACAAGCAGTCACCTCTTTCTTTCTTTCTTTCTTTCTTTCTTCTTTCTTTCTTTCTTTCTTTCTTTCTTTCTTTCTTTCTTTCTTTCTTTCTTTCTTTCTTTCTTTCTTTCTTTCTTTCTTTCTTTCTTTCTTTCTTTCTTTCTTTCTTTCTTTCTTTCTTTCTTTCTTCTTTCTTCTTTCTTTCTTTCTTTTTTCTTTCTTTCTTTCTTTCTTTCTTTCTTTCTCTCTCTCTCTCTCTCTCTCTTTCTCTCTTTCTCTCTTTTCTTTCTCTCTCTCTTTCTCTCTCTCTCTCTCTCTCTCTGTCTCTCTTTCTTTCTCTCTCTCTCTCTTTCTTTCTCTTTCTTCCCAGATCACCTTATTTGTGGCAAACCACAGAGGATGAATACAGAAAACATGTATTTCTGCAAGCTATACTAAGTGTGCTTCTCAGCCTCTTTCATAAGACTTTTATTTTAATTTCAGCAGCAACTAGGTATATAAAACAAATTTTTCTTTAATATCTGGGACACCAGTCATCATAAGACATCATATAGCCATAAGACATCAATAATCATCATAACACCATGATGTAAATGATGGCATTACAAAATTACATTGCTTCAGTAACCTTCCATAGTTTTTACTTCAGCATATGAAAACAAAAACAGAAAACCCCCCAGACAGAAAGGGAACACAGAGTTTTTAGTGCTGTCAGCCTGTGCTGCAAAGTAAACATGATACAGGGCACAAAATTACTGGTGTGTTTACAAGAACAGGAGTGCAAATCAGAATTAAAGGGGCAACAAAACAAAGGCCATACCTGTCTCCTCTGTGGGAATGAAAAGGGCAGAGAGAAGGAACAACATTGTCCAAAAGCAACCTGCCATTGCTACCCTCTGCAGCTAATGGTAACCCTGCCTGCATTCCCGCAGCTCTTTGGGGAAATTGCTAAACAGGGGATGTTAAAGTTTAAAGTCCAGATGCTCAAGAGAAAACAAAACCTCTGAGGGCAAAGCCTGGCCGCAAAGTCAACATGTGAAAACCTCAAAAAAAAAAAAAAGTGTTTGGTGATGCAACTTCTCCTAATGCAATGGCTGAAGGCAAAGAAGGTTTGGAAACCTACAAGTTTGGGGTATTCCTCTCACCCCAGAGCCTTCCCTTTCCCAACACCAAATGGGGAGAAATGAACAATACGAGCATTTCTTCGTGCCATTACAAAGCGCTGTCACAATCTGGATGCTGACTGCAGGGATCAGTTTCACAGTGCAGTGTGGCTGCTGCACACACTGTCCCCACAGAGCTTTTCCCAAGGCAGGGCATAGAAAGTCACCTGTCCTTGGAGCTTAGCTGCGCCAGTCAAATCCCAAATCCCATCAGCTTTTGACGTTGCAGTGAATGAAACAAGCCTGCAACTTCCCCCATGGGAAATATATCTTAAAGGATACCATCCAGTCCTCTGCCATCCTCTTTGGTGGGCTGTGAGCCAAGCTTTCTTCAGGTCTGTGGGGACAGGACAAGGGGCAATGGCCACAAGATGGAGCCCAGGAGGTTCCACACCAACATGCGAAAGAACTTCTTCACGGTGAGGGTGACAGAGCACTGGAACAGGCTGCCCAGGGAGGTTGTGGAGTCTCCTTCTCTGGAGATATTCAAAGCCCGTCTGGATGCCTACCTGGGCAACCTGCTCTAGGGAACCTGCTTTGGCAGGGGGGTTGGACCCGATGATCTCGTGAGGTCCCCTCCAACCCCTACACTTCTGTGATCCTGTGACTCACACATGTACTCTGTGCTCTCCATCTCCTGAGGCCACCAGGCTCCACTGTACCCGTCCCAGCTGGGATTTTTGGCCAGGAAGAGCTGTTGCCTGTTGTCACAGCATATCTCTGATATGCCCCTGCCTTCCTGTGAGCACGAATACCGCCCTGTGCAGAAGCAGCACGGCAAGGCTGGCTCCTCTCAGCACACTGACAGGAAAAATGTGTCACCACTTGATGTCAGCACAGGACTTTGCAGAACCCAGCGGAGAAGTGTGCATCTGCAAACATTTATTTATTTTTTTAAGCAAACTGCTGCACGTTGCAACCCTGTGTCAGTGAATGTGTTCTCATAGGCATGAGGTATTTATTCAAATCAGGTTAGCAACACCAACACAGCTTCAGAAACTGTATTCTCCCTAGAGCTTAGTTTTCGAGCTCATGTTTTCCTTTTAGATGAAACAAGCCTTGACTGAGCAGCTGTTTGGGCCACAGTGTACTCAATCCTGTTACGGCACCAACTTTGTTTTCTTCCCGTATTGACATTATTGCAACAGGCCTTGCCTTTCAGACTTTCGTATTACAGAAGGTTGCATAAAGAGAGGGGTTTAGAAAGGCGGTCCTTTCAGTCAAGTTTCTTTATACTTACTAGAATTTCTTTTCCCATTCCTTTAAATATCACGGTGAGCACACGGAGAGGTGTTTCATCGGTGTGCCCCCGTTGTGTCACAGCCCCTTGGCAAGCCATCATCTGAGTGTCACCGTCACACGCTTGTGGGAAATGCACACCTCAGCTAACGAAAGGGGATGGAAATTATTTTCCAGAAGATGTCACCCCCGCACTAGGCAAATAATGAAAGCCTCCTGGAGCAGCTCCAGCCTTCAGCTCCCTGCTGCCAGCAGCCCTTGGCTGGGGGACAAGAAATGAAAGAAGAAATGATCGCTTGCTGGCAGCAGATCAGGATCAACAAAACGAGACTGCAGCCCTCAGCCTAGCCTTAGACATCAGTCGGTCTGAAACAGGTGAATCTGATCATGTGTAGCCTTGGTGAAGAGCTAGCAGTGAGTGACACAAATTAATTTGATTTGTTTGTTGATGTACACTCTCCTTATATGAAGCACAGTCACTAGTATGTCTGTTTATAGGTACAAAAGCCACAAAAATGCCAGGTGAAACATGCCTAGCCAACAGAGGAGACACATAATTTATAAAGGGTTAATGCTTAGTGTGGTTAAAATGGGCTATACTTCAGTTAAATGTCTGGACGGTAGCCAACCAGCTCACCATATGCAGGAAAAAATAAAAAATAATAAAAAAAAAGAAAGCTTTTCTTGCTGCATTTGAAGGGCATCATCATTTATAAATGCTGAAGAGACAGAGACGTGCAGTCATTTTGGGGGAGCATCAGCATTGCCCTTCTGGCTTGGTCGCAGATTGCAGGACATCCCAGGGGAGGAATGAAACCCCAGGAGGTTTGATTCCCTCCAGCGGATGCTGCACCCACAGGAGCTTTCCTTGAGGACTCGAGCCTAGCCACTAGGCTGTGCAAGTCTCCTGCCAGCCTGGCAGGCCAAAAAACATCTGGGAGCTACTGACATCTCTGCAGATGCGAGCTCTGACTTTTTCTATTTCTGTGCACACATTGCTAAAAATAGCAATTGGTGTTAATATTTCAGCATAGTAAGTGCCGTTAATACTTGTTATTAAAATGAATTCATTCTTTACTTTCACCTTGGTGTTCCTTTACCTTTCCCCCTCACTTTCATCTTAATTTTGTTTCCCTACCAAAATTGCAAGCTGTAAAACTGGTTATGAAACAGCCAGAGATGGCAGAGCTTATGCACAGACACTGCCATATCACTCAAGCTCCTGCATGCAGCTTCAGTGATACATAAAGGGGGTTCAGTAGGGGGGCTTATTTTGCCCTAAGATGAGCTATCCTGATCCCTCGTGAAACACTCAGAAAAAAAAAAAAAAACAAACTGCTGTTTGAATGAGGACTGTATGGTTTTCCTCCTGTTTTCTCTGATTATATCTCCCCATTGACCTTATCTGGTCTTCGGGACAAAACTGGTTAAGGACAGCTCACACAGAAACTTGAATGGAGGATTTTCAGGCAAACTGCTAGAACATTGAAGGGGATAATAAGAAAATAGGAAGTGCTTGGAGCTTATCTGGAATTCAGACTTTTCAGTGCTGCTGACAGCTCTGTCCTCTCCAGTGAGGACTTTAAAGGTTGACATAGGCAGAGCACCGAGAACGTAATGTGTATCTTGCCGTGTCTCTCGAGTGGGAACTGCAATTTGCTGTGCAATTAAAGCAGCTGGGGTAAATCTGTCCCTGCAGACAGAATTTATTCTCATCTGGTACTGAGCATCTGAGCAGGATGAGGCTGTTGTTTCGTTGTAGAAGCAGAAAATAACAGGTGAGGAAGGGAGACGCTCATGTGGCTGATTCCTCTGAATACACGTTGAGCTAAAGACAGTGATTGAAGCCTGCTGAATGTTTCTGTGCCTTTCGGAATTGGTTATGAATAAATTAGGGCTGCCCAGAGCCAGGGCAAGTGGTAATGTGGGGCTGGGCAGGAGGACAGATGGACAGCAGTGAGGGGATGGGGCAGCAAGTGCAAGCTCTTTGCAATGGCCTCTCCGAAATCCCTGGAACATGCCCATGTGTGACCCACAGCTCCACACATCATGTTTGCCTCTCTTACTGTAGAGGCTAGGGCTGAGTTATAACTGGAGGATTTCAGTAGGGGGTCCCATGGGAAGTCAAGCAATTAACTTCATCCAACAACGCATTAGTATCAGTGACATGCCCAATTACTTAGACTCATGTGTGGATACACTGGTGGTTTGCACATTTTCCTGCTCTTTCTCTGTACACAATCAAGATCAAGCATTTTTTTTTTTAATTATTATTATTATTATTATTATTTTTCCAGAGGCTTTAGAAATGCTGGCCTGCTCTTGTAGTGTCCTAATCTGATAGTATCCTTGTCTAGGTTTATTTCTATAAAGCAGGTGCTGCCACAGGAACGCTGAGTTAGTTGCAACTTTCCAGTGGAAGGTTTATCAGCACAGCCAAAGCCTCTGAGACAAATTCAGACAAAGCAAAAAGATCTCCTAAAACATTGCATTTGAAGATATTCCATTATTGTCCAAAACCAGCAAGCTCTGTTCAAAGTCCAAGCACACCTTCTGAAAACTAGGCATGAGCTCATGAAGGAACTGATGGCATCTCTTAATGGAAGTGCTAACTCTCAGAGCTTTAGCAGGCATTTTACAAAGAGGAAAATGTTATTTAGGGATCAGATCTGACGGCTAAGACAATTAGGTTGACTAAACGTCACGCTGTTAAGAGTTTTGTGTCAAAACACTTCTTACCCATGGTAAGAAGCTTGACAATTTAGTGTATATTCCATATTTTCCTTTTTTTCCACACCCTTCTCCCCAGCTGATAATACCAGTAGCGAAGTAAGTGCCATTGTATTCGGTTACATGGGGGCCTCCTCCATCTCCTTGGCAAGCGTCTTGTCCATCTTTGCTATAACCTGCACAGAACATGTTGCTTGTGACTAGATTTTTAAGGGCACGCCTGCAAGTTCTCTTGTTCACGTAAGGGACCTGAAGCACTTTCATTCTTCTGACCGGCTCTGCACGTTCAAAGCTGTTCCCAAAGCCACTGATAATTCCGAATGTTTGGTTCATCAGAACATCGTTAGCAAAGTCTTCTTCTGGAAGGCATGCTGGGATAACATCCTCAGAAAATGTGATAGGTTCTTTTAATTTGATAAGGGCTATGTCGCCGTCAAAAGATTTTGAATCAAATTCGTCATATGGGATTATTTTTTCCACTCTGTGCGTCGCAGTACTTGGCCCTTCCTCTTCTCTGTCCACCATCCCTGTATCAGATTTTTAAAGCAGGTGTTAACAAGGCAATACCGGCAAGCCCAAAAAGCTCCTCAATAAAAGATGGGACTAAAGTACCTTGCACTTTGTATGGACATTTGTACTGTACAAATTTTTATTTTACATGTAGAGTATTACATTTATAATATACATTTATTGTACATTTAGTACATTTCAGAGCTATCCTGACGCTGTAGCATTTTATATGCGTTTAGGAGAGGTTTTTATATGACTGTCAAAGTGCCAAGCAAGTTTAAAATCAGAAGTTTGCTGTCAGAATGATGGTCTCAATGACAATTTTCATCTGAAGTTTTGGCCTTCATTACAACATACCCAGTGGCACTCACTATTGTACAAACAAAACCCCAATATAGAAGAGCAGGATCTTGCTCCTCTCATTTGTAGAGCAACATTGTCAAACAGACTTAAGCAGGAAATACCGTCTTCTAAAACATTAATATTCTACACAGAAATGTTCATTCTCAACTTGTATGAGATCTCTTTTGGAATTAAATTGACAGGAAATTGGTGCTTAGACACAGATTTTGATTTACTGTTTTAGGCCAAGTGCAAATTTTTGTGACTCAGAATACCATTTTCAGTGCCTAGAATTTGTGATAGACTATTTTTTTCATAAATTACATTATGAAAATTTGAATTCATAAATTACATTATGAATTTTTTCATAAATTACATTATGATAAATGTCATAATAAATAATGATTTTAAGGTTTCAAGTATGGAACAGTCTCAGACTGGTATCTACATGCTGTCAAATTATTTATTGTTAGTGTCTGAATGTGGCATCTGGAAGTCTTCAAGGTTTGGCCAGTACAGAAAATTGCATGAAGGTGTAATGTTAGACCAGTTAA